TACGTCCATTCAATCTCGAGCACCAGTATCAGCACAAATTGTGATTGGAACCCCTGGTACAATTAAGAAATGGATGTCCATCAAGAAGCTGGGCGTTACTCGGCTCTCTCTCTCTCTTTTTTCCATAATAAATAGTATAGCCGTGCGGCTAATCTAGATTTATTTCCAATTTTTTAAAGAAATAGTACAGCCGTTCGGCTATAATCGGATTTTCCCAATATAATGATGTATAGACACCAAAAATTGCTAAATTATAAATTTAACGTTTGAGGTGAGACCCAATTAATGAAGGAATTTTGTCCAGACAAAAAGGCTTTTTTTTGTTAGTATAAGTGATAGTCTAAACTACAAGGGAGAGGGTTTCTCACACAATCACAGTCAAATTGTCGTGGGAGTTCGAACATGAGACCTCTTGTTTGCATGTCAAAACACTTTTCCACTAGGTTACACCCCGTTGGCAAAATAAATGCATAGAAAACTAACTTCACCAGGCACATAATTGTCCCGACAAAAAGACTTAATCAAAAGGGACTCTACGCAATTGATCTTCAAAGAAAAAGGCTCTATTACAGTCAAGATCAACTAAATCAAAGCATACCTGCAATTGATCAAGAAAATAAACAATAATTCTGTCATTTCCGTACAATGAGAAAACAATATATATTATGATACTACCAAACCGCCTAAATTACATCCACCAATTAACAATAATTTGACGCTCACCAGATAAATATTTCGGACTTATTCAAATGAAATCAAAAGAGAGACACCTTCAATTATGCTCAAAATGATAGTCCTGCATGTATCGCTTCAATATACCTGCATTACAGCTCATGTAATCAGCTACAACATGCTTAGAACCATAGATGGCCACAGGGTCTCCTTATAAATTGTGGCTTTATAGCTTCCACTTCCTCCACCAACAAACTCCAGCAATCAAACAGAGTTCAATAAAAAAAAAAAAGTTGAAACAAAGAAAGAGGAGGTATGGATGCTAGTATCTTGAGGGCTGTGGTTTTGATGAGCATGCTTGTGCCTGCAATAGCTCAAGCTGATATTAATCCTTCCTATACCAATACGGTTTCAAATGGAAACACTCTTGGTCAAGTTGATGATGTCTCTTATCCTTCCAATACAAATCATGTGGTTCCAAATGGTCATCTTATTTCTTGTGGTTTAAAATGTGCGACAAAGTGCCTGATGAACCCAATATGCCTTGGCATGTGCATGATCAGATGCAAACATAGACCTTCAGATGTTGTATATAATTGTACACATAACTGTGCCAACTCTATTGCCACCACAAGCACTTCCAATTTTGGTAATATGCATATTTCCATATGGGATTATTGATCTGCCTTTATCTCTCTCTCTCTCTCTCTCTCTCTCTCTAGCTTTATCATGTTCGTTTTGAATTATATTTCGGTCATTGATATGCTATGTATATTGGTTTTATTTGCTTGAAATTGTAGATAAACGCTATGTGAAGGGCTTCGTGGATTCATGCTATGAGAGCTGCTTCAAGAATAATCATATTAATTAAGGGATTGGCAATTGTTGCCTAGCTAGCTGCATGCAGCATGAATGTCTTGCGCTCCAGAAAAATAAATGACAATTACGTCTTGCATATGCAATAATTTTAATTTAAAATAATAATTAGATTGTTCCAATTACTATTTATATTGCTTTGTGGACCTTATTTCTTTCTTGTATACCACCATCTTAATCTGTTACAAACGTAACTTCTTCACTCCTACCGTCATCACCAACATCATCAATAATATTAATAGAGGGAAAGAATATACTCTCCAAGGAGCAACACCTAAAATAAGTATGCTATTCAATTTACTGCTAAACTGGTATGACATCATTCTTTCATGCATCATCACATCTCAAAACAATACCCTCAAGTCTAACTCGAAATTCATAAAAGTGGAAATTCACGTCTGCTGGCCCAGTTTGGGATTGCTGTCACTTTTAAAAAAAGTTGTTTATGCTGTGTTTTGAAAATAATTAGCCGTAAAGTAAAGCAGCTCCATGTTTGGTAAACAATATTTTTAATACAAATTTATAAATAAACCCAATTCTAGACATGTATTTATAAAAAAAAACCCAAGCACTATTTAAACATAGAAACACACCCAAAATCAACCCCAAAGTCAACTTTTTGGGTGTGTTTATAAATGGGTTTTGAGTGTGTGTAATAATGGGTTTTGGGTGTGTTTATAAAGTGTTTTGGGTGTTGGGGTTTTTTTATAATTTCAACCTCTATTTTGGGTGTTTTAGTGAAACTCCCTATTTTTAAAGTGCTATTAGCACAAAAAGCAATGTCAAAACCGTTTGGTAAGTTTTAATATAAAATTGTTGTAACTGTGAATAATAACTAAAATAGACATGATGTTGAAAGTGTTATGTACTAATCATGTGGTGGTAGTGGTGATGATGGAGTGGAGGTGGTGGTGGTGATGAAGTTGGAGTTGGTGGTTGTGGTAGTGGTAGTGGTAGTGGTGGTGGTGGGCAGTGGCGGAGCCACAGTGGGGTCAGTGGGGTCGCACGACCTCTTGGAAGCCATGGAAATCAGCTTAGACGTCCCTTGAAGCTGTTGGTGCGACCTCTTGGAGCTGCACACCAAGTGGTCAACGAAATGACTGAAAGAAGGAAGGTTTGCAGCTGGAGAAGAAGAATGGAGGGTTTGCTGCGCGCGGGGCTGTTTTTTTTTTTAAACAACCTGGGCAAAACGACGTCGTTTTGGGCCATGTCTGAAACATATTTTATATATTTAAAAAGATATAAATATAAAATATAAAATATAAAAAAGCCAGCGTATGTCCTTCTTCACATCAGCAATTCCTCCATTCTCAACCTCAAAATTCTTTTGTTTTCTCTTCCAAACCCTAAGTTCCCAACTCCCCCAAACCCTCAACTCCATCTCCTCCCTTGCTGCCTCCACTAAATTTTTATTTGGACTTTTACACTAAGACCTCTTATGGTAAGATTCCTGGCTCTGCCACTGGTGGTGGGGATGGTGGTTGTGGAGGTGGTGGTGGTGGTGACAGTGGTGGTGGCGGTGGTGGTGGCGATGGTGGAGGTGGAGGTGGTGGAGGAGGTGGTGGTTGTGGTGATGGTGGCGAAGGATGAGGAGGAGGAGGATGTGGTGGTGGTGGTGGTGCAAGTATTGGAGTTGGATGTGGAAGTGGAGGTAGTATCATTTTTAAAAATGAATGGTGGTATTTTGAGAATTAAAAAAATTCATTAAAGATTCATCTATGCTTCTTTTGAAAACAGCTTTGAAAAGCAACCTAGAGCTTTTAAAAGCTGCTGTCAAAAGGTCATTGCTTTTAAAATAATCAGAATATTTTATTTTTACCAAACATCTTAAACTGTTTAACTTTAAAGTGAAGCAGGTTTTTTGCCAAAAAAAGCAATCCCAAACGGGGCCTTAACCCATTGATGGATGGAATTAAGCTCCAATAACAGGACCATTGCTTTTCTAATAGGTACAGAATTTACTCATATGCCGAATAACATACACTCAAATATATGAAATCTTCCCTTTGCTTTTCTTTTCACCACATTTTCAAGTGGAACTGGAAAAACATCTTAAATTTTTTAAACCCCCGCTGCCTCTCTCTCCTCTGAGCCGTCGCCTCCTCTCTCTCCCTCTCTCTCTGACCTCCTCGCCCACCAGCGACTAGCAACCCCTTCGCCCACCTGCCTTTTATATGTAATATCGCATCCCCAATTGCATCCCTTTTTATTTCATTTTTATTATTATTATTATTTCTTTCTGAGCAAGCCACTGTTTCTATGTTAGATGTGTGAAATCAAACTTCCAATGATTACTGCATCAATATAGATCGTAGTTTTTTAGTACATTAATATATTTATTTTTCATTTAAGTCATTCTGTTGATAAATTTTATCTTTTTGAACCAGAGCAATATCATTAACTCCAAAACAAAAAACAATATAAGAGAAAACAATTGGCACATATACTCCAAAAGAAACATATTATACAAAGATCAAGGCAGTTGCTAATGCATACATTACACAAAGGAAAGGAGAGCCCAAGGAAAAAGAAACCTTCTTGTAGCATATCTCATTCTGCAATTCAATACGGGCTGTAAGGTATGCACTGTCATGTTTCCTTCTTAGACTCTCTCAAATCTAACAAGCCTTCATAGAACATAGTCTACATAGAACCCAATTTAGGCAAGCTCATGAAAACTCTATTCAAAGCTTGATTTTTCATTACAGTAGAACAACTTACAATAACCTTCAATATGGTTCACTAGCCATATGCTTGACAATACCAGGAAAATCCAAACTATGGCACACAAATATGAAGAAACGATAAAACTGGCTATATATAACTGAGAGAGAGAGAGAGAGAGATAGAGAGAGAGATAGAGAGAGAGATAGATAGATAGATAGATAGATAGATAGATAGAGAGATAGATAGATAGATAGATAGATGTGGATAAAGAGAGAGATACCTCTGTAATGCTCAACCAGTCCAAAACAAAACTCACAAAAACTACAACCAAAGGGAACCTTACGGCTAAACATTGACATTTGATACCTCTGTAATGCGTCTATGAAATTGATCAAAATGAAAACTTGAGCAGACAATAATTTCTTCTGTAACAATTCCTACTAGTTTGAACAAAGGTTTAAGAAAAAACTTGTGTACAAAATACATGATATTTACCGTCACATACTGAACAAGCTCTTATCAAAACTTGTCAAGTTAAGTGAAAAGATCAGTCACACTAAAATTAGTTAATTTTAACTCCAGAGCTCATACTAATGGCAAGCGGATGTGCAAAAGACTACATATATGAATAGCATCACTGAACAAATATCATTCAGACTTCTGAGTGTGAGTACTAGAGACTTCAAATAAGATTAAAAACAAACAAACAAACAAACAAACAAAAACAACTGAAAAAACAGAAACCAAAGAATTCTGTAACCACAATAGGAAACACAGTGGACCCATAATGTCAAAATCTAAAAGCATTTAATCACTTTATATGAAAAAATAATCAATCAGTGACTATCATCTTTATAAGAAGAAAGTGAAGCCATTAATTAAGTTTTTCATTTTCCTCTTTTGGGTAACAGTTTTTGCTCACGGAGCACACATAATTGATAAAAGTGACCTGAGTTTCTTCAAGTTCGTTCTTAGAAAGCTGCATGTCTCCAGTAAGTTCTCTCACAGTCATATTCAATGAAGATACGCGATGGCTAAAGTTTATGTAACTTCTGCAGCTAATGCCTGAAAAATAAATGATAATAAGTAACAAGCCACTATTTCAATGCCTACTTCCCCAACCCCCATCCCCCCCCCCCCCACCCCCCCCCCCCCCCCCCCCCCCCCCCCCTACCCCCCCCAACCCAACCACCCCCCCCTGGCGCAACATAAACCATCTAAAATTCATCTTTATGCAAGTAACCGCCTTTGAAGTTCTGTCCAATCTACCACAGAAAATGCCGACTCACTATCTAAATCTCAGAATGGATGATATACTGAATATTTTCAAAAACTAAATAGGTTGAATTCAACATGAAAGTACTATGAGTACATCAGCATGACATAAAAGCACTCGAATAACTAAGGCAGTCAAAAGCCTAGTTTCCTTGCTTTATTTTGCAAGCTGATACCTTTAACACACTAACCCTCCCAGAAAAATATATACAATACCAGCTCATATAACATTACAGCCGTTCCCATTCCGTTTTAACTATGCAATTAACCCAGATTAACTCTTACACAATACAAAAACAAATGTGTGAATTTGAGATCAAGCCAAAGTAGTAAGAGAAAAAGTATGATTACCAAAAATGAGAATAGAGACCCAGGAATAGCCAATCATTTGCATACCTCATGTAGAATAGAAATCACAGCTATGTTGGTTTTGCCAGCTCCTGTTGGAGCACAAACCTGCAAGTATCATATCAGCACTTTCACTGCAATGGTTTGGTATTCACATAATCAACAGAATCAATAACTTACTAGTATATTTTCATTAGTGTAATAAACAGTACGAAATATGCGACTTTGAATACGGTTCAGAGACTTATATCCACGAAAAGCAGCCTGAGCGAATTCATGTGACTTCGTTATCTCAATCTGACAGCATACGACAGTAAACAGAAATAGAGGTCAGTAGGTGATAAAAGAAATCGCAAGCAAGGACAATCCTATTTGTTTAACCACCAGAAAACGTGCAAATTATTATGGCTAGTTTGTCAGAGAACTCCAATTGCATCACAAACTCTCCATACTAGAAATATTTATTCATACAATTATCACACACACTATATACATGTCACCTTTGCTCCTTCGCACCAGCAAGCTTCGTCTGTCTTCATTTGGGAAAAAAAAAAGGACACGACCCGCCCAGGTTGCCTAGGTGCCGCCCAGATCCGCCCAGGCCGCCTAGGCGCCGCCTAGATCCTCCCAGGCCGCCTAGGCCCCCCCTAACTCCCTGGTGTCGGTGTCCTCCCGCCTAGCGCCTAGGCCGATATCTCGATTCTCGAACACTGCTCAAAACCTGGAACGAGCTTGGTTTGTGCCCTAGACGTTCGAGTCCGATTCGCCAGAATATTTTTAAAAACTGAGTATAGCCGAACGGCTATACTATTTCTTTAAAATTAAGAAAATACCGAGTAAAGCCGCCCGGCAATACTGGTTTTTAACAAATTAGGTTCACACGGGTATAGCCGCGCGGCTATACTATTTTAAAAAAAAAATTAACCACCATTCTAACCTTTCTAAGGGCTCGTTTGGGAGTGCTTTTGGAGCAGCGAAAAGCGCTTCTAAATGGGTGAAAACGCTTCTATCTTTTAAAAATAGTGTTTGGCAAAAATTACAAAAGCGCTTTGGGTGAGATCCAAAAGCACTTGGAGTGGTTTTGGAAGAAGCACTTGAGAGGTGCTTCTTCTTAAAAGCGCTACAGGACAAAAACACGGGAAGCACTTGGCTCCCTTTAATGAAATTTTTAAAATGCCGAGAATACCCATATTTAATTTTTTTTAGTGCCAAAATACCCTTTTTTTTATTTTTTATTTTTCTCTCTATCTTTTTCTCTCCTATTAAAATTAAAATGCTACCTGCGAAAAGCCCAACAAACGCCAAAACTTATCAGACAAAAACACAGCTTCTATTCCATCTCTCTCACACACACTGTTAACTATGGTCGGCAACGAAGCTTCAGCCTTAGCACCCTTTAGCAACACCCTTCTTCTTCTTCTGCCTTCTTCTTCTCAGACCTTTTTCCACCCTTTCCAGTTCCCAAACTTCCAGACTAAGCCAGAACTTTGAAAAAATCCCAAAAGAAAACTACCTATATAAACACAAAGCCTTGAAAAATGTTGTGATCATATCTGCCTGCATCCATTATCTTCCCATCAATAAACAGCTTCAGTTTAGCTTCTTCAGCCTTGAAATATACTAAAAGCACAACAACCCAAGACAGAAAAGAAGGAAATAAAGAGAAAGGAGCAAGCAACCCAGAAAGACAGAACCCACTTGAGCTTTTCATACAGATAGAGAGACAAAAGACAGAGCTTTTCACACTGTCATGGTGTTTTCCCTTTTGCTTAAATTTATGGCTTGTTTGTCCATTTGTTGCCTTTGTCGCTCACTACTTTCAAATTTCAGCACATATATAATTTCCATATATTTTGATTGAAATTGAATGAAAAGGAAAAAGACAAATGCATTAATGGAAAACATATATGGCTTTGTGAGAGATTATACTGGGAAGGGTTGCCATTGCTATAAAGCGCTTTTACTGTGTCAACCAAACACTCAACAAAATATCAAAAGCACTTTTATGTAGTATAAAAGTACTTTTAAATGTGACATCCAAACAACAAACTGCTTCTTTGTAGAAGCACTTATGTCATAAGCACTGCTAAAATAAGCGCTAATGGCATAAGTGCTTCGGAAAGAAGCACTCCCAAACTAGCCCTAAGAGAATGGATTCATCTTCATAGGAATCTTCGGATCTACAATTTTTTCTCTTATTGTTCGTTCTTTTTGTGTAAAATTTGAATTTTATAACTATTGTGCATGAATTATAATAATTTGATTTTATAACTATTGTACATGTCATGTGGATATGTACACAAGCAATAAAATAACTTCTCAAGTGAGTCAGCGAATTACTAAAGTATTTTCATGTTCACAAATTTATTGATTCAATTTTGCACTCCGGACATAAATTTGTTTTGGTAAGGCTCCATTAACATAATATTTTAAACGTATAGCCGCACGGCTATACCCTTGAAACATCGTAATCTGAATTTCTCTTTTTTAATTACTATATTTTGTAGTTGTGTTTTAATTATTATTTACTTAGTGAATAATTAGTATTTAAGTATTTTATTAAAGAAAAAATAAATAAAAAAACAATTACTATTTATTAAGTAATATATTTATGAAGTTAATTAAAATATTTAATACTAATTATTCACAAAATAAATAATGATTAAAACATAATTACTAATGAAAGTAATTAAATAAGGCTTAAGATTTTATTTAATTACTAAAAAGAAAATTTAAAATAAAAATGTACTGACCTCTAGATACTAAGATTTTTTGTAGGGTTAGAAACTTCAATGGTAGCATTGAGTCTGGTCGTTTTATTGTTGTTCATTTGATTTTCTTGCAACTTTTCATTTTTAACATTTTTTATGTGTACTTCTTCTTGGAATAGGCTTATGGAGTGCACATGAATGGCTACGTTGAAAAGGATGGGAAGAAGTTTGTATGGATAGCGAAGAGAAGTCAACAGAAACCCATTTATATTAAATGTATCCAGGGATGCTTGATCATCTAGTTGCTAGTGGACTGGTTTGTAACGAGCTTTCATCTCGCTTTAAGGCAATTTAGTTTCTATTCTATCTGAGGCTTATACATGTCACATACATTCTATCCAATCCCTTTCCCCTGTTCGAAATCAATATCAAATTTTCATAAGACCTAGTTTGGTTTGGCCTGTGCATGTTCAGATGCAAGCAGAACAATACTCTGTGGCCTGTGCATTTGCTGACAACGCAAATCAAAATACCACGCACCAAATATTCCACCCAAATTAAATCTATTTCTTTTTTCTACTTACAGTAATTGAAAGTTCTATTGAAAGGGATGAGTTTTCAAAGTCATTCTTAAATTATCAAAACAATCCAAAACTATATATTCACAGGGTCTGAACAAGCAGAACAAAGTTGTTCCACATAAACATGTGGTGGCAAAAATGAGAGGCAAAAGAAGAGAGAGCACTCATTGCACAATTTTGAGCCGATGCAAAATGACTGTTCCAGCCCATCGAAGTTCAGATAGAGGTTGTGGTTCAAATATTGTATTAATAAATACCATTCCACTAAACAGAAGAATGCTTATCTCCAAAAAAAACACAGAAATGCTATACATATTTAGTGTTTCAGATTTACAGCATCACCCAATTTCCTGGAAAGATGCTTATCCCAAAATCCAACATATGATGAGGGTATTGAATGATCAAAGAATAATACTCACATATGCATACACATGACGCCCAGTCTTCTCATGCGTATCTCTGCAATTCAAGGAAATCGTATAGTCGATCGGCTATACTCTGTTTTTTCTAATTTTTTTAGAATTAGTATAGCCGTTCGGCTTTACTATTTTTCCTGCTTTTATATTTTTTTAAAAAATATTATCGCCGGTCGGCTATACTCAGCTTTTAATTTTTTTAAAAAAGAAACAGTATAGCCAACCGGCTATACCCGGTTCCCCCGGTTTTTTAAAGAAATCGTATAGCCGCTCGGCTCTACTCGGTGTTTTAAAGAAATAGTATAGCCGTTCGGCTCTACTCGGTGCTCCATCTTCTTTGAAGAAATAGTATACCCATGCGGCTATACTGCGTTTTCAATCTTTCAGAAGAAATAGTATGGACGCGCGGCGGTACGGGATTTCAGTTTTTTTAAAGAAATAGTATAGCCGGGCGGCGATACTCGGCATAATACAAAAAGAAGATCGACTTTTGAAATGAAAGCTACTATGAGAATTCTCATGCTTCCGCAGCTTTGAACACCTTTCCACAATCCTGGCATACAGGCTGCTTCTGACCTCCAACGTTAGCCGAAGGATCGTCCTCATTGTGGAGTTCTTTCACACGCCTCCTCATGTTATCTTGGGAAAAACAAACCCACGATTACAGTTTTCAATCGGACACATAAAGAGTTTCTCCTGGTGCTGAAGAATATGAAGATTTATCATTTATGTGGTCCTTTCTTCTGAAGCTGGAACGACAATCATCCACCGAACAAACGTATGGCCACTGTAAAGATTAAGCTAAATGAATTCAGGAACAAGTGAACACGCATTCAATTCTAACTGCAGTACGTGATTGAGGTTCACTTGATGGAGCTTCAAAGGAGGTCTCCCACCTGATACTGGTCCATTAAAGTCAGAAACCTCTCGCATTTTGGAGATCTTTGTCTGGGATCCAAGCTTTAATGAAGCTATCAAACTATCAAACTAATCGGTAGCAGACAACACCACAAGGGAATGGCTTTGCATTTGCCGCTTGAGATATGCAGATTTCTTAAAAGTAGCACCACATTCTTGGCAAGTATTGGATTTTTCCTCTATCCTTCCCCATCCCCATCAGCCTCTTCGGCCATTTCCATCTCTTCCTGTAACAAAAGTAACCACATTATAAGTAAAAATTAATATAATCAATCTGAAGACAACCCAGCTTCAGATTTTGTTTAAAATACAAAAACCAAATGAATCCACAACAGTAAATCCCTCAAATTCGAAAACCCAATTCATAACAATTCATAATTGGATCATAGAAAACTAAAATTAAAAAGGACTGAAACCTAGTGGTGAGAAGCAATCAGGTTCTTGTTGAAATATAAGTGGTGAGCTGATGAGAGTGTGATTAAAGTCCCTAAGCTGAAATGGTGTATTCACTTAGTCTCTAAAATAGACAAGTGTGAGGAGTCAGTTAGTGTTAAGTGGTATAGCCACGTGTAAAGATCTTAGAAGGCAGTTTTGAATGTAAGGCTGTGATTCTCAAAGTGATGTAAGAGAATCCAGCTATTTCTCTCAACGGTTATATAGCACACACTGTGCTTGCCTGAAAGAGATAGAGCAATATACAATACAAAAATACAGAGGTTTTCTTTTAAAAAGCTTTGCTCTCGGTTTTCTCTTGCATGTTGTTTTCTCTTCTTCTTCAACACCTTTCAAAACTCTAACATGGCCTCAGAGCCAGGTTCGATGTCTTGATCTGGGCGTAAAACTGTGAAGGTCACTGAGCTAAAATCGAAGCTCAGCTGAGCATCGGAGAAGAGAAGCAAGCTGCTGAGATTCAGACCAAACGATGGCTGGATCTGGAAGTTCTGAGGTACGAACTCCGATCTTTTCCGGTGAGAACTACGAGTTCTGGAGGATCAAGATGGTGACAATCTTCAAATCTCTTGGGCTGTGGGGTCTGGTAGAAAAGGGGATTCCAGTCTCTGATTCGAAGATGAAGACCAAGAAAGTTGAAGAATCATCGGAGG